CCTAAGGTTGGAATTCTGGAGGTGGAGGTTGTCTTTACTCTTTCTAAAGCCATCCCCTGATGACCCATCTTGTGCACACATTTTTGTACATTTCCTTAATTATTTTCCTAGAATAAATTCCTAGAAAAGGTATTTTCAGGTCAGAAGTTATGCAACTAATGTGTGCATATAGTTGCTGCATATGGTCCAATTTGGCCTATGGAAATCTGTATTTGTTGGAACTCTCCGTCAGGCTGCGAATGTCTTTTCTGACACCTTTGCCAACATAGGAAATGAGAAGTGGAGTACACTGCTTGATTTAGGCAGATCTTCCCCTAGACAGGCAGTGAAAAAAGTTCCTTTGGGGCATTGCTTTCAGATACCAGAGCTTGAGAAACATGCAGGTGTGTGCTGGCGGCCTGGAGGTGTCACAGGGGCTCAGAGGTGCCTGGACAGCTGACAGGAAACAGGATGGAGCAAGTGTCCCCAAGGATCCAGGCCTCATGGAGGACCTGATGCACTGTGAGCCAAGATTAAGAGCCAGTTGTGGTGACAGAAAAAATTCAAGCCACTGAGATGGGTTTGACCATATTTCAAGGATAGCCTTGGGGAGAGCACCAGCTTTTCAGAAGTGGTTGAAGGGTATATCAACTAAGGATGAGCCCTGAGCTGGTCCATATGTTACTCTGAGCACTCACCTCCTGCCCTGTGAAGGCCATTTGCCTGCTCCAGGAACTCTAGAGAGGTCACCAGGGCAAGGAGTAGGGGTGACAGGAAGGGTTGGATTCCTTCCTATCCTGGCTCAGGGCACATTGATGGTGCCATTCATGAGCCGACACCCAGACTCAGAGGCTCAGTTCAGTTCAACCAGCACGTGCCAGGTGCTGGAAAGATGAAAGTGTGTGCCTTAAGACCCTCATGCTCTCCATGACCCCTCTCCTCCTGATTTTCCCCATCTCTGAATCCCAGCAGCACTAAGTTTTTGACCCTCTTTATTCTTCTCACTACTGATCATCACGTCCATGTTCTGTCTCCCTGGTGACATAAGCTCCTCAGGGACAGGGACACCCCTAATCTTTAGGGAAAATCCATTCCCAGCCTTGGTGAGCAAGAAGAAAACTACAACTGAAAAGTATTCCAGAGAGAGCCTCGGCAGGCGGTGGTGGGAAGTGGAGGAGACCAGGAGGCAGTGCACATACACTGAGCCCTTACCACAGCTCTGCCCAGAAGATATTACTCATATTATCACCATTTTGTAGATGAGGAAATTGCAACTCAAAGCGATGTGAAAATTGTATAAAACCACCCAGACCCATCTGATTTTAGAACAGAGGTGGGAGGCCTGGCCGGTCCTAGGTCGGCCATGAATCACAGTGTTTCCTTGGTCAGGTCACTGCAGTGCTCTGAGACTCCACATACAGCATGCAGCTTTGCCTGTAAAGTAAATGGCATTACACCCCGCTGCATAGAGTGCTGTGCAGATCCCCTGATAGCAGGGATACGTCAATTTTCCAGCACTGCATCAGAGACATGCCAATAACTGATACCTGTTAATATTACTAGTAATTACTGCAAGGGGGTACTGCACCAAGAATATTTTTGTCAACCCAAGGAATTCCTTTTATTAGACACAATATTAGTGAATACTAGTATGTGTATTACATTGAATGAATACCAGGGAACAGGACGGTGCACTAGAAAAATAGGTTGGGGGGAAGTGTGGCTGGATGAGTAGGAGATCACATAAACTGCATCTCCTTTTCCTCATATGTGAATTTGAGAATAATCCATCTGACTTTGTCAGGGAAGGACAGGCCAAAAGGGAGGCTAAAGATGCATTTCTATAAAGAGAGATCAGAGGCAAAGAGACTGGAGGGAGATGGCTGCTAAAGTTTAGGGTCATTTGTTAGGCAGGATTAGCTAATTTAGGATGTGAAGTATATAGTGTTCTGTTTTGTTTTTTACATATGGATATCCAATAGTTTTAGCACCATTTTTTGAAAAGACTACCTATTTTCCACTGAATTGCTTTTGCACCATTGTTGAAAATCAATTGGCCATGTATGAACAAATCTATTTCTACACTCTCTCTACTGTTACATTTATCGAGTTGCCCATCTTGAAACCAATAGCATGCTGTCTTGATTGCTATAGCGTTAGGGTAGCCCACACAGTCAGGTAGTATACGCTTTCCTATTTTCTTTTCTTTTTCAAAGTTGTTTTGGCTATTCTAGGTCCTTTGTATTTCTATATGAATTTTACAAATCTGCTGATGTCTACAAAAGGATGGTTGGGATTTGGATTGGGATTGCATTGAATGGACAGACCACCAAGGATAACACCATGACCTTGCCGGGTCAGGCCAGCTCGGAGCAGCACTGAGGACTCCCGGTCAGTAAGCACTAGGTCAGCTCCTGGATATCAGGGGCTGCTTTCCTCTTCCTCAGTTGGAAAGTACCAGTAAAATCTTCCATAATGTGTTTTGATAAAGGTATAGTATAATCTTTGTGGAATTCTGAGCAAAATATTATAAGAAACATTCATTTGTGCCCAAGGGCCATGAAACTGATGTAATTCGAATATAATAAAATATAAATACATGGCAAACAGTTCTTGAGGGTTTTCTCTTAATTCTTCAGGTTTTAACAAAGAGCGTTTACAGGATTCACCTTCCTGAATCAGGGGTGGGAGGGGGGTTGAGAAATAATTAGTAGGCAATTTTTTGGCCCTGGGACTTTTCTTGTAAATGTTTTCTTTGGCAGCCATACTCTTGAGAACAGGAAGTTACTCTCTTGTTACAGATTTAAGACTTCTCTGAGCCAAATAACAGAAAGCTGGATTAGTTCTGAAAGGAGGGGAAGAGGGGAGTAAGAAAACAACTCTATGCTCTTGCTGGAGATTAATGACATCTTGCAAATATTTTAATTCTCCCCTTTCCTCTTAATTTGCCACCTCCTAAACAAAACCCGTTCAGACTGAAAAAACCTTAACTGGTTGCTTGGTAGCCCAATCTTAAAATAAAACATGGAACCCCAAAACTTATCTAAACATTTTGGGGAAGGGTTGACTCAAAGTTGATCTATTTTTGTTATAGAATCCCCAGTGTGAAATTTACAGTGTCAAATGTAGTTGTGACGATGCTAATGTTTCTACGGTAATCATAAAGATTCATAGTTTCCCTTGACCTTTGAAAAATGACTTTTGTCATAGATAACATGTTTAATTAAGTTCTGT